GATTTTTTTTATATAGTAAATTCCATCAACATCTTGTATAAGTGACACTGCTTCTCCATGCATTACCCTGTTAAGACACAATAGGTGTATTAGTTACATATAGGAGGACATTGTATTGCCTGAATAACCATCTGTCACCACAGTTAGCATAGGGGTAATGTGCCTAATAGTTCTTGCTGGTGTTTTGGTTTGTAGTATAACTTGGGAGATTTCAGAAAGAGAAAGCAACCCCCTCTTCCCAAAGCGAATGGGGAAGAAGGGTTTGCTGAGGAAAGCAGTTGGGGGAGGGGAGGGGGCTGATGGAAAGCCACAGAACCAAATGACGGTTGTTATCTGCTAGTTGCAGGTGCTGATTGCCCAGGCTGGAGTGACTGCATATTTATTCTCCACATTACCAGTCAAAATAAATACCAGGTGACATACAGGGAATGGACCCGGGACCTGTAGAGGACATGTTTACTGCGCTGAAAGGATAACTTCACCTGATAGGAGACACGAAAGAACGTGTGTGTGTGTGTGTGTGTGTGTGTGTGAGAGAGAGAGAGAGAGAGAGAGAGAGAATACTATGTGTGAGTGTACTAGTTGGTTATCAATCTGTATATAGCATGTGGTCTTAACAGACACAACACCCTATTTGCACTGTTCTAGGCCCATAGTTCTGTTATTTGAGTCTTTCTCTGTATTGTATCAGGGGGTAGCCGTGTTAGTCTGTATCTACAAAAACAACAAGGAGTCTGGTGGCACCTTAAAGACTAACAGATAAGTCTTTAAGGTGCCACGAGACTCCTTGTTGTTTTTCTGTATTGGTACATAGACACCTACACACGCAAAGATACAAAGGAACTCAACATAGGTCTAAATTAGTCTGCATATAAAGATGTATGCATGTGTTTGTATATAACAGGTGCAAGAACACAGAACATATATAACCTGAAATGCAACTGTACATATATAACCGTCTATACACACATCTCTGCTGTTCATTTCTGCCTGTATCCATCAGAAAATATTGCTACTATATTAAAATTATAGAGGGAGAATTATAATATATGCAGTCTGATGAATACAGGCTGAAATGAACCTCAGATGTGTGTATAGACGGGTACATATCTATGTGCATTATAGGTCTGTATCTTTTAGAGATCTAGCGAAGACGAGTTGTATAATGGAGCTAGCTAGCTTCTCCTTTTATACCCCGGCAATTTAAACACGGCTCAGTTATTCGTCCACATTCTCTGTAGGGCCGAATTCAGAGCGGTCCCCCTTTCTTTGGTTCAGACCCTATGAAACTCTCTGTACCAGCGGCTCCCCTTTCGCGGTAATGCCGGGCAGGGACATGCCAGACACACACCGTGTATTCCCTACGCGCTGCTCGGGGGCGATTTTTCAGCCTAGTTCGTTTGTGGCCAGTATTAATGAGAAACCGAAATCAATCCGCCTCCTTTCATGTATGTTTTTAACGTCCCTGGATGTGTCCCTGGAAGTTAACATTCTCCGTGTGAGGGGGGGTCACCTGGAGCATATCAAAGACCACAATTACGATTCTTCCCTGAGTGTGTTTCCTTGAGGGGGCGGGTGGGGGAAGGGCTCCCGATCATAAGACAATCAGTGTGAATTATTTCGTGGTAAATGAACGCACTCACAGACCCTGAGAATAGCTCGGACCTTGCGAAGTATCCGCAGGCTTCGCTTTAGCGGCCTTTCCTGCTCGCGTTTATGTGCACACGATGGTCAAATACGTTCCTGGCGTGGATATCTGGATAGAGCGCGGAGTAGCTTTCCGGGAGCTGGTGGATGGGTGAAATGCGGTGACTATACAAGGTGCGCAGATATAAGTGTTGGAATATTAGACATGTGGTCAAATAAACATGAAGAATAGGTATAATTGTTATAGTAAGTTAGACAGAAAATGTGTATGAATTTGTGTATAGTAAAGTGTGTATAAATATGTAATCGCAGTGGTTTTAGACTACATATGTCTATAAATTATATATTAGTAAATATTTTATGTGTACATAGACAATGAAGCAAACAGACCAAGGGGTGTGTGTGTGTGTATATATAATTGTGTGTGTTTTTAAAATATTCACACATTTGCTTTGTATCTCCGGGAAGAACTATTCCATTCCAAAGCAAAAAAACAAACCAAAAAAAACCACAGGAATTTTCGTGTTGCCCCGAGATATAATGTTTTGACCTAACCATTGTAAAAATATTTCCTCCGATTTTTCTCCCCTCCTCCCTCAAAAGAATATTACCCTTTTTGTGAATTTCAGGCTCTTCTGTTTGCTCTAGTGAATGATCAGTTTGTTTATGTATTGAACGGAGAACATTAATGGATATTGACTTTTATTTATCCTACCAGGGGTGCCTCTCCGCTACAATGGGGAATTTCCCTATTGACATATTAACTAGTGCAAAAGATTCATGAAATACAGTTTTTTAAAGTCCCAAGAAGGTGTCAAACACATTTTTGGTCTCCCGACTTAAAAAAAAAATGCATACAAGAAAACCAACTAACAACAAGAAACCTCTCTGCGTACAAATAGTTCGCAGAATGCTATCCTAAAAGAAGGCTGGGGACACTCTCAAGGGGTTTTTTATTTTTCCTTTCTGCAAAAGGAGAAAGGTATCACCAAACCTCAAGTCAATTACTTTTCCCTCGAAGAAAGATTTTTAGTAAGTGTGAAAGGGAATCTATTTCTCTTAGATTCTCGAGTCAGCGATGCACCTGAGCGAAGGGCTTCTCTCTGCACAGCCACCTGGATTTCTAACGGAACTCGTTAGCTGGTGGTGCTTAGGCACTTGAGAGAGAGATTATTTTATTTCTAGCAGGATTGCTCAGAGCTGCTTTTAAGCTCTGCCCCTCACCCGCTCCTCGCCCCACACGGCTCCCGAAAAAATGCTGCTCTCCACATTGGTGTCTAAGTGTTCTCTTCATTACCAGACTTAATGAAATGACTAACTAAACATTTGGGTACTTTTCCATCAACAATTGCTTTGTGAAACACTTGTCCAGCCCTCCCCTTCTAGAGGGGTGGGAATGGGGGGGGACGGACGGAGCAAGAGAACCTTATAACTTAATCTATTGTGCCAGCATTGTCATTTGTCCCTCGCATGACAAAAGGAGGAGGAAGCAGGGGATCGGCCTTCCCACCTCCCCCCCCCCAAACACCTAAGTAACAACAACAACCAAATCCTGCAAACAAACCGTCCCCCCTTGTTTAGCAGGCCAGCTGCAGCCGGCCTCGCTCACTAAGGTATTGTGGATGGATTAATTGAAATACCTGTCTCCAAAACTCGGATTTACACACGTGAAATGCGCTCTGACTGAAACATTTGCAAATATTAGATTTATTAGGTTCAACAAGTACATTAATCCAACGATGCTAAGTGAAATGTACGGATTTCTCTATAGCTATACAGATTCACCTAACTCTAGGGAAATCAATCAGTCTATCTATCTATCTATCTATCTATCTATCTATCTATCTATCTATCTATCCATCCCTGTACACTGATAGATTCATAAATTCCAAGGCCAGAAGGGACCATTGTAAACATCTAGTCTGGCCTCCTGTGTAACAGGCCGGAGAACTTCCCCCAAAATAATTCCTAGAGCAGAGCTTTTAGAAAAAAATCCCATGTTGAGATTCTTCACTATTGTTATGCATTGGTATCTGCTTAACTGTATTTCTATCTGTCCATCTATGGCTACACCCACTAATCTATCTATCATATATCGATGGCTGTACCTTCTCATATGTCCTCCCCATACATTCCAATCTACCTAACCATCTATATACATTCTTCACTGTTGTTATACATTCTTATCTATTTAATTTTCTGTCTATCTGTCTACACCTTCGAATCTATCTGTTGCTAGCTAGATCATCTATCAATAACATTTTATCATCTAATCTATTTTATCTATTGCTATAGCTTCTCATTTATCTAATTGCTAGCTAGATGATCTATCAACATTTTATCATCTAGCTAGCTAGCAGTTTAAGACAACAACTTTTATTTTAACTCAGACATATTTTCAGCTCTAGAACATTTCTTTTAAAAGGTTAATTCATTCGAGCCATCACCTTGCGCACAAGGTGACTGGGTAATTTAAAAGTCCGCAGGACCTGAAATTAAAGAGAAAAATCATATACAACAGCACAAGAACAGCAAGGCTCTCTCTTTCCAAAGGGGGTTTGCTTTCCTGATTCGCCTCCCTTCGTTCTCATGTTGACTCTGGTTTTAAAGATGTTGTAAATTACTCAAAGAAAATCTTTTTTTAAATGCCCCCCGCCCCCCAATCTGTATAACAAAGGCCAACTAGCTCGCCAGGGGGTCAATTACCTTCATATCTGAGAAGTACATAACAGATAACTTTTCATCCTCAGACATTGTCTGAATCTGCCTTCTCCTGGGGGGCACTCCCCTCAGCATGCCAGTGGCCTAAACACCCCCTAGATCGGGGTCCTTTGGCTTTTCTCTTTTTTTATTTGGATTCATGGAGATCACTCGACAAAAGAGCAAGAATTTCCATCTTTTCTGCTTATGCAAAGAGGCCATTCGCTGCTTTCACTGGCTTTCTGTTGACATTGAGGCGAAACAGAGCTTGTTTTGCAGGTGCAGTGACCTCCCCGAGGTCTCATCCCTCCCCCACCCAGCGCCCCAAGAAGAGAAAGATAAAATATTAGCCCCCCTCCACCGCAAAAAAAAAAATTAATCTGCACCCACCCACCCCTGCAAACAAAATAAAGGTAAATACTTACTTAGCCCCCGCACCAGGTAAAACCTACTACTCAACAATAGTGGTGCCTTGTTTTTTTCCCTCTGTGCCAAGCACAAGGCTGGAGCCAATTTAGATATGCTATAAATTAAGAGGTTGCCATGGCCACCGCCTTCTCATTGGCCCCCGGCCTCTCTACGTTCCGCGAGACGTCACCAAATCTGAATAAGGATGCGCGAATTACTAAACTGGGAGACAAAGCTGAAGATGGGAACAGCGTGAAAGTGGAGAAAAGTCCCAACCAGCCATCTACACGTAGGAACCCGGGGCTCCTGGCTTTTTATGATGGTTATGATTATTATGTGTTATTATTAATCCCTTTCGTGGACCGGCTGCACCCACAGAGGCGCTGATGCTGCTCCAGGCCGAGATGCTGCTCAATTGAAAGGCACCGGGAAAGTCACCCCACCGGGATATCTTTGCTTGGCTTCCCCCCCACTGAACCTGCTGGGAGAGGTGTGAGGGGCGTGGGGGAAGAGAGGCGTCTGCCTCAGTGGAGGGGAGCTGGAAAGTCCACGCGACACTTTTCGCCTGCCCTCAGGACGCCCAGGAGAAGAAGGCAAGAAGCTGCCCGGGTTGTTCTGCGTTTCCCCCCCTTTGCGATCGCTTGCGGCGGCGGGGTGGGGGTTGCATTCTGCTTTAGTGTGCTGGTCTCGCCTTCCTCTGCGGAGGTCATGATGGTGCATTGTGCAGGCTGCGAGCGGCCCATCTTGGACAGGTTTCTGCTGAACGTGTTGGACAGGGCATGGCACATTAAATGTGTCCAGTGCTGCGAATGCAAGTGCAACCTGACTGAGAAATGCTTCTCCAGGGAAGGCAAGCTTTATTGCAAAAATGACTTTTTCAGGTAAGTCCCGCAAGGAGGAGGCGAACCCCTACCCCAACTGCTTGGCTAGCAAAGCGGGGCAAGGTTATCTAGCGATACCCTGCTTCGGTGCCTTGTCTAGCTGCCTAACCACAAGCTAAGAGCGCTCTGTAATTGGCACATTGTTGGGGTCTGCTCCATCGGTCCTGATGCTGCAAAAGGTGTCAGATCTATATGCCACTCCAATTCCTCAAAGGAACCCTATATGTTCCTATGGGGGGGGGGTATCCATTTATTATCAGCAGGCCAGAGCGGTTTCAGTGATTTTTTAAATCCGTTGTACCTATTGTCAATGTCCTCCTTTTGCGATATTCCTCAGAGTTTTCTGTACAGAAGGGAAGATCCTAGAACTAGGGGGGGGGGGGAGCTCCAGGCTCCTTGTTCGCTCGGTAACCCGAATCGAATGTTTTAAATGTAGGTCTATGCACGAGGATGAGGCAGATCCGAGCTGATCGTATGCCAGGCGAGAGGGCACGGGTTTTGTAGGTTACTTAAAAAAAAAACCATTCTGGAGTGGAGAAGAATAAAACTTTTCTCAGCAGAAAACTGATTTTCGAATGCCCCGGGCTTTAAAAACAAAGCCACCTGGAGTGCGGAGAGGCAGAGCATAAATCAGACTCAATCCGAACTAAAGTGCAGAGAGGAGAGAGAGAGCGGAATATGGGGGGACATCCCCAAACTCCTTTGCCCCAATATTCGAGCCTGAATGGGGAATTCTCAAACGCCCACTAAAGTTCCTAGCGAGGCTTAGGACCAAGGCTTTGTGGTCTAATTGGCTGTGCATACACAGAGCAAACTTGTCCTGCCCCCCCCCCCCACCTTTTCTTTTAAATCAACAAATGAACTCATTGAAAATGTAAAATCGCCCTAAATATCGGTTGGCCTTTTGTTTCTGGCTGTAATTGAGGTAAATGTGGGCATTTGTTTAGCTAAAGGGTGAAAAGCTCAGGGGATGATTAATATAGAGGGGGGGGAGACGGCAGTTTTCCCAGTCCTGTAGGCCCTAATGAAGGTGAATTTGAATAGGTTAAGTGTCACACTCGCCTTTACACATGTAAACTACTTTTAATGGCCCCTATGCATTCAGCACCCCTCCCGCTGCAACTCCTTAAATGCCTTTAATGATTTTTGATAAGGTGCAGATGAGCCAATTATGCTCCAGGATAAGACAAAAAAATGACTTATGACTTCTAATGTTTTCACTAAATCAACGTCATGGAACGTGAAGCTGTTCTAAGTTGTGTTTAAACAAGGGAGAAAAGAAACAGTTTTATTTCTCTCCTTATCCCCCATCGTCCACCCCACTTCCACTAGTGCCCTCAAACCTCTAGAGTGCCCGAATCAACGCCCCAAAGTGGAAACTAAATTATCTGCTTTGAAAAACAGATACGATTCTGCTGCTTGATAGTGATCACCCCCACCCCCGGGAAAATATTCCCTTTCTGCAGTGCATAATACTAATACTACTAATAATTAATAATTAATAAATAAATCGGGGGGGGGGCTGGAATGCTGAATAAAAGGAGATCAAAACTAGAACCATTTTCAGCACTGATGTGTGGGTTGTTTTATTGGGAAGGGGGAGACCATTTTTAGGCTCCTCACATCCCCTATCCCCACTCGTGTTTTGAATTCAATAAGCAGCTCCCTGTGTTTCTCTTTTGGGTTTCTCACCCCGCTAACAACCAAAGGGCCCCGGTTAGATATTTACTAACCGAAATGTGCCACCATTGAAGAGAACGCGACTATTCAGACGAATTCGGACTGTGCGGGAAGACCCGTTGGTTACCTCCTATGTCCTGGCGAAATGCAGCCTGACAAAAGGACGCGGACACTCCGCAGCTTTCCGGGGGATACAACGGGGTGTAAAAATCGCTCCATAAATCCCGCGAAACCAAAGCTGGTCGTTATTTTTTTACACCGAATCGTGGCTGCTCCTGAAAGCGGCCCAGCCGGATCACACGCATTCACGGGCATATATAAAAACCTGATCCCCTTCCCTCGCCTTATGCCGAGCTGCGAGCGAGCGCCCCATTTCTGTCTGCCCCCAAACCCAGCTCCGGAAATGGGCCCTTCGCCTCCCAGCTTTGGCGCCCCAGAGAGGAGGATTTTTCCTTCCTCCGCGCCGTGTCTGAGCCAAAGCTGTAAGTAAGGTCGGGGCCGCTTTCTACCTGCCGGAGATAGGGGAGGGACCAAACAAAACAGACACCCCGGAATATTTGCCGTGGAGACGGAACTATTAAAGTGGGGGCGAGGGGGTGTCCATTTGTACGGAGTCAAACAAGGGCATTCACACGTAAATGCGAGTCCTCGCTTGGGCTGCTTGAGACGCGTTTTGCTCGCCACCAGAGGAATAATTTTGCGCACGCATTTTGCAGGCGACCAAGTCCGCTTCCCTTTCCTTGTCGGAATCCAGGCAATTGCTTTAATGGCCTCATGTCTCCCCCCCTCCACCCACGCGCCCGCGGTTGGGGACGATGCACGTATAGACTGGAGGGGACTCTGGGGCCGGCCGCTAAGCACCCGGGTATTTATCTTCCTCCCGTCTCTCTCTCTGTCTCTGCTCCGTTTTTAGGAGGTTCGGTACCAAATGCGCAGGCTGCTCCCAAGGCATCTCTCCAAGCGACCTCGTCAGGAAAGCCCGAAACAAAGTCTTTCACCTGAACTGTTTCACGTGCATGGTTTGCAACAAACAGCTCTCCACGGGAGAGGAACTTTATATCATAGACGAAAACAAATTTGTTTGCAAAGAGGACTATTTGAACTCGCCCAGCTTAAAGGAAGGGAGCCTCAACTCAGGTATGGAGCGTCCGCCAGCCTCTAAGCCGGTGTGGGACTTTAGAGGCCTAGCATAGGTGTGAATTCAAAAAAGCACCCGGGAGGGGGGGGTTAGTTTCATATTCTAACAGCAAATTCTAGCAAACTGGGGGAATTTAAGTCTTTTTTGTATTGTCTGGGTCTCTCTCTCTCTCTCTCTCTCTCTCTCTCTCTCTCTCACACACACACACACACACACACACACACACACACACACACACACACACACACACACACACACACAACA